ATATGTAGAAGAATGAAATTAGACCCATACCTCTTGCCATATACCAAAATCAACTCAAAGGGATTAAAGAATTAAATATACATCCTGAAACAATAAAACTCCTAAAAGAAAATATAGGGGAAACACTTCAGGAAGTAGGATTGGGCACAGATTTTATGAATACAACCCCCAAAGCACAGGCAAACAAAGGAAAAATAAACAATTGGGATTGTATCAAACTAAAAAGCTTCTGCACAGCAAAATAAACAATTAACAGAGGAAAAAGAAAACCAACAGAGTGGGAGAAAATATTTACAAAATATACATCTGACAAAGGATTAATATCCAGAATATACAAGGAACTCAAACAACTTAACAGGAAAAAAACAAGTAACCCAATAAAAAATGGGCAAAGGAGCTGAATGGGCATTTCTCAAAGGAAGATATACAAATGGCCAACAGACACATGAGAAAATGCTCAACATCACTTAGCATTTGGGAAATGCAAATCAAAACCACTTTGAGATATCATCTCACTCTAATTAGTATGGCTACTATCCAGAAGACTGAGAATGATAAATGCTGGCAAGGATGTGGAGAAAAAGGAACCCTTCTACACTGTTGGTGGGACTGAAAAATGGTGCAGCCCTTATGGAAAATGGTATAAAGATTCCTCAAACAACTACAGATAGATCTACCATATGACCCAGCTATCCCACTGCTGGGAATATACCCAAAGGAATGGAATCATCATGTCGAAGGGATACCTGTACTCACATGTTTACTGCAGCACTATTTACAATAGCCAAGAGTTGGAACCAGCCTAAATGCCCATCATCAGATGAGTGGATAAGGAAAATGTGAGACATCTACACAATGGAATACTACTCTGCTCTAAAAAATAATGAAATACTACCATTTGCAGCAACATGGATGGGTTTAGAGAAAATTATATTAAGTGAAATAAGCCAGGCACAGAAAGAGAAATACCACATGTTCTCACTTATATGTGGGAGCTAATAAAAAATAAATAAATATACAAACAAATAAACGGTGTGTGTGTAGGGGTGGGGGGAAGACACAACAACCACAATAATTCCTTGAACTTGTTATGATAAGTGAATAGATATGATGTTAACAGGGGGTGGGGGAGGGGAGGGAAAGAAGGAATTGGTAAAGGGACACAAAAATCAACTACATCGTACATTGATAAATTAAAATAAAAAATAAAAATATAAAAAAATAAAATAAACTCCTTCAGAAAAACACCTTTCTGTGCTTCTTTCACTGAATATTTTTTTCTTCCTTTCTTTTTTTAATAGAGAGAGTTTCTCTAGACTTCAAAGGGAGATATGCGAAGGGAGAACTGGGTCTTATCTTTCTGCCTCTTACAATGTTGGGTCACCAGAATCTTATCAGTAAGGACAAGGAATTACTGTACAAGAAAAGAGAAAGCACATCTGGAAAACATCAACATCTTAGTATGGTAAGGCTGTATTTCGAAACCAGAAGTGCATATTGTATTATCTCCTTTTTGTCAGCGGAGTCTTGAGGGATAGGGACATTGAAAGAGGAAAAAGGGTCATCGTCTTGCTCCCCCGATCTCTTCTCCCTCCTCCTGGTGAAATTACACCTACACAGCAGGTGCTGTGGGTCAAATGTGTCCCCCAGACATTCATGTGTGGAAACTTGATCCCCACTGGAACAGTGTTAAGAGGGTGGGAAATCCAATTATGACATCTGAAAGGTGTGGCCTTTGAGAGGTGAATGGATGGTGAGGACTGTGCCCTTGTGAATGGATTAATCCATTCATGGAGTAATGCATTATCACAAGTGTGGACCGGTGGCTTCATAAAGAGCACGTTGGAGAGCTCTTGCCACTCTCACCACGTGATTGCCTGCATCACCACAAAGACCCATAGAGAGTTACCCACACAGTAGCAGGCCCTCACCAGATGCATCCCCCGGACCACGGACTTCCCAACCTCCAAAACTGTAAGAAATAAATTTTGTTTTCTTTATAAATTACCCAGTTTTAGGTATTCCATTATAAGTGGCAGAAAACTGACTAATACAGCAGGCCAAGCTGATCTCCCAGATTTTAGGTTTCTAGGTAGGGCTTTGAGGGGCAGCTGATTGGTCTAGAGGTCCCTGAGCATTTGTTGTTTGCCTTCATAAAAGTCAGCCCTAATCCACCATCCATCCATCCACCCACCCACCCATCCATCCAACCATCCATCCATCCATCCATCCATCCACCCACCCATTCATCCCCCCCTTCATTCATTCAGTAATCTTTCCCAGCACTTGTTAAATCCCATGAGGCTAGGTGCTAGTGGGAGATATAATAAATAAAAGATAGTATCTTGTCTTCATGGGAACTTAGTTTGGGTGGTGAGACAGACAAACCCACTGGCCCTAACGATGCAGTGTGACAGGAAGTAAGAGTAAATAAAAGTTGCTGTGGGAATGAACAGGGGAGCACCTAACTCAGTTTTCAGGGGCTTATGCAGGACACGTGTCTAAGGGAGACACGAAGCGCAAAGAGTCACTTAGGGGGCCAGGGAAAGTGCTCCAGGCAAATAGACCAGCACACACAAATCATGTCAGAGCTGGGAAGGACTTCCGATGGGTAACAATGGAGGAAATAACCATACCTTAACAGATCCACAAACAAACAAACAAAAGAGAGAAATAAAAGAAAAAGGTACTTATTAAATGGTTGTTTGGTTTCAAGCTTCTCCTTT